TGAGCTTTGAGCAAGTGAAGACTTTATAGGTGCCCATTTGCAGAAGACATTGGTCATGTTGGTGGCTGCCTGGTGTCTTTGAGATCTGCTTCCTTTGTTTGGGGAGGAACTTATTTTCCCAGTCTCCCACGCAGCACAGACATGTGACTGCCAATCAGATGCATTGGCAGGAGAAGCAAGTCTAATCACTGGTGCTGAGGTCACAGTGGAGCAAATTAGGGTGTCAAGGTCATGGTGATGACAACAGTGGCTTCCCCATCAGACCAGTTTGACAGTACAGCTGTAAGCTCTCATGTTTCTAGAAGGTTAACTGTTAAGCCTACTTCTACAGCCCTCTTAATGATTTTATGAACTTCCCAATTTCTAACAAACTTGGGATGTAAGAAAAATGAGCAAAATCTGACATGGCCACCACCCACAAGACCTTACAGTTTATCAGGAAAATCAGACAGTAATTGAAAAATGACACTGAGAACTGTAAAACTGCCACCATGATTAGTGATGTGAAGGGCATAGAAAGCATTCCTGAGGGAACGATGTTAGTGTGAGATGTGCCTTTGAAAAGAGCACACCAGAGTCAGTTGGAGAAGGAACTGGAAGTCAAAATAGGTGCAAGCAGTCCCAGTAGGGGGCAATTTTAGTAATGGGGGGGGAGGGTGATAGTACCTTAAACTAGCAATGAAAAAGGACCAACCCAGAAGATACTTAGGAGGTAAAGAAGACTTAGCAATGGGGGGAATTTCAAAGGGGTCATAGATGACTCAGCTTCCTTACTTAAGCCACTGGTTAGATACTTGGATCTACCTTCTAGAGACTGCTAGAAGAGAACCAAGTAAGGACTTTGTGAACTCATGTGAGCAGACATACTCAGTAAATTACCTTTGAGGAATCTGTGACAGTTGCACAGTAAGGTTCTGGAATTCAGACCAGAAGATTGGCTAGAGACATGAAAGAGACCTTCCATAATCTGAGTCATTGTGCTGATGGGATTTCTGAGGGAAGGGTATAGCCTGAGATCCAGAGATGACCTGGGACTTGGGTGTTTTTGTTTGTTTGTTTGTTTTTTGGTACTGGGGATCAAACTCAGGACCTTGCGCTTGTGAGGCAGGTGGCAGAACCTGGGATTTGTTCTTAAGGAGAATGAAAGATAGGTGAAAGAATGAAGGAAGCACTCATCAATGGCTGCTGAAAGATATAAAATGACAATGCAGTGAAAAACACTAATCCAAGAAGCATGTTTTAATTCTCAAACTACCAACTCCTCTTCAGTATGGATCACAAACTCAGGGGGCCTGGCCAGTCTTCTACTCAGCTAATGGGCTAAGTGTGAGGTGGCACACAGGAGAGCACTTGTCTTGTCTGGAAAGGGCACGAATTTTAAGCTCAGACAAGTCATCCCCAGATACAATACCCAAATCCAAATCCAAACCCCTTTATTACCACAGTTTCTATTTACCTGAATGGACCTCTGCCACGTTTCTGGAAACAGTGCCTATCTGCCTCTAACTGGGAGACAATCTTGAATCCCTTAAATTATTTCTCCTATTGAAATCCTCTATTTTTCTATTCCCAAATGGCCCTGATATCCTGAAAAGACTGCTCTTCTGCTCTAAACACTTTCCTAATTTCTAATGCCCCCCAAGCCTATTTTCCAACATCCAATGCTCGAACCATAGCCAGCCCACTCTGATATCCCCTCCATTACCCACTCTGAAGAAACGGGTCCTACTGGTCATCTGGCCCCATGCCGTCATGACCCCATTGGTAATTCGGCAGCCACCAGCATGACCACAGTGCGGGATAAAAGAATGAATGGGCAGCTGAAAAAGGGCAATTGTGGCCTGGTGCCACAAGACAGCTTAGATTTTTGAAACCAAGAGAGTAGACTACTTGAAGTAAAGGGATAGTTTTTAGAAACCAGAAATAGGAGTAAAAGAAAAGGGTTCTGGGGCAATCTTAGAGATGGCCTAGTACAGAGGACAGAAAGTTTAAACAAACAAACAAAAAAGCAGAAATAGTGGGAGAAACTAACTCTCAGTGCTAAGTAATTCTAACCTCTGATGGCTTTTGCTCTCAGAACCAGTAAGAATATTTGCCTGAAGGTCTAGGAGATGTTTTTCATTATAGGCATTCAGATTTTTTTTTTTGTCTTCTCAATATTCCTCTGCAGTAGTAGATTGCATGTCCTAATTCTAACTACCAGATATTGACTAAATCTGATATGTAGTTGAAGTGGATTTATTTCTTAGCTTAGTATTACAATAAATAAACACAATATAGACAATCAAGTTCTCTCCCCTCTTCCTACCTCCCCCAACCTCAATCTATAATTATTAAGTCAAAAGACATTAAAGAAAGCACACTGTGAACACACTTGTACGGGACTTGCTCCTGCTTCTGCACATACCAGTGAGTCAACATACATCTTACCTTGTGTGGCTGCTTCCAAGGCCAACATCCTTCAGGAAGCACTACACAGCACCCAAAACGCAATCACACTTAAATATCCATGGGTATTTTCTGCAGAATTGTGGTCAGTGTGAGAAAGAGTTTGCCCCAAAATTCATTTTCTGTTGACATTTGGCAGAACTTCTGTCAACAAAAGTACACCAACAGGGCCGGGGATTTAGCTCAGTGGTTCTGCTGCCTGCTTTGCAAGCGCAAGGATCCAAGTTTGATCCCTGGTACCAAAAAAAAAAGTACACCAACAAACACCTAGCAGTGTGTGGCACCTGGCAAATACCTAGCAGTCCTTTTTAAGAATCCAAAGAAAATCAAATGAAAATGAACCATGTCTAATCTCATAATGAGTTAATACAGCAAGATATTCTGTGCCTAGCACATAATAAGTACTATATAAATATTGGGTATTAGTGCTGTTATCATTATCTGCAGTCACTGTTGCTTCTTATTTACATTCCAAGAATCAGAAAGCCTCTCCCACATTGCTCTCACACCCCATCCTTCTTACTTAAATACTATCTCAACTTTCAAAGAAATATAAACTACACCTCACACATGGCGCTAGTGCACATGCACACACACACACACACACACACACACAGAGCAAGACAGTGTGGCCTCACTCATGCGTTGTTGATGGGAGCCAGCACAACCCCTATAGGGGCAATCTGAAAATACCTATCTAAATTACCAACACATATGCTTTTCAATGAGCAGGTCACATTATAGTGCATCCTGCAAATGAATGGTTCATATCTAGATGTCCCCTGAAAGCCTTGGGGGCTATAGCCAGGAATTTTGAAAGGTGAATGGACTTAGAGCTGAATTGCTATTAGGAGGGGAGGTATGGTCTGCACAGTATGATCACTGGGGGCATGGCCTACAAGGGTTTATCTTCCTCACCCAAGACCTCCGGTCCCTCTCTACTTCCTGTTTGCCCTGCCATGAGCAGCTCTCTTCCACCATCTACCTCTGCCATGCTGTCCTGCTCTGGAGCCTGCTGACCATGCAAGGAGTAAAACTTCTAAAACACGAGCCAAAATAAACCTCTCCTCCTTTAAATTGTGGGTGTCAGGTATTGTTTCCCAGTGCTGAAGAAAGTGACTAAAACACACAACATGCAATAGGTGCAAGGTTACTCATTGCAATCATGTTTGAAATAAGATAAAAATAAGCTAAGTGCTTATCAATACAGAACTTGTTAAACAAACCTTGGTAGAACATAGAATGGAATATTACACAGTAATGAATCAAATTTTGAATGAAGAAAACCTCCAAAATATACTGCTAAGTGTTCAAAACATCTCAAATTTCATATAAAAGAGTGTGGGGGGGGGGGGTAAAAATATAGTCAAAAAACTGGGTTCAATGGCACATTCCTGCAACTCCAACACTTTGAGAGACGGGTGGAAAGACTGCAGCTTCCAGCCCTACCTGGGTGGGCACCTTAGTGATTTAGCAAGACCCTGACTCAAAATAAAAAAATAAGAAAGGGCTATGTTATGGCCTGCATCTAGATGTCCCCCAAAGCCTCATGCAGTCATAGAGGGGGCTTTTCAGAGGTGGCTGGATCTAGAGTATGTGGTGCTGGAATCAAAGGTGTGAGATTACTAAATCAGTCCACTGATTGGTTTGGTATACTTCTGGCTAGGATTAAGGGTGTGAGTGCTATGCCCACCCAAGGGCTGGTAGTCTACTCACCTGCCTGCTTGCCATGGACTGTTTCTCCTCTGCAATGATGCTCTGCCATGCACCCTACCTTGGAGCCAGCCCAACATGGACTGAAACCTCTACAAAGTGTGAGCTAAAAAAACTTGTCCTCCTTTAACTTTGGGTGTTCTGTATTTTGTCTCAACAGTGAGAAAAGTAACTAAAACAGGCTGGGATGTAGCTCTTTATGAAGTCTGAGCTGAGGTCTAACCTCCAGTAACCTCCAGTAAATAAAAAAATAGAGAGAGAAAGAGACAGAGAGAGCCAGCCCTCCATGTGCTTGGATTCAACCAACCAAGGATGGAAAATATTTGAAAAAAATCTATTTTTAGATTTTTGTAGATGAACAAACATTTTCTCTTGTCCTTATTCCCTAAATAATATAGCATAGCGGCCATTTTCCCTGCATTTACATTGTATTAGGGATAAGTGATCTAGAAATGATTTCAAGTTTACGGGAGATTGTGCCTGGATTATATGCAAAGGCTGCATTATTCTGCATAAGGAACTTGAGCACAGGTTTTGGTATCTGCAGAGTTCCTGGAACTACCCTCCACCCAAAGATACTGAGAGGAAGCTATATCTTCATTGTTTTACATTAAGAAACTCTAAAAAGATACAGTGGGGTCTAAGAGGAGTGATTGCCATGGCAGGGAATGGAGAATTAAGCAGAAAGGTAGGACAGAAAGGATTGGAGGGAAAACTTTTACTATAAAACTCTTAATTATTCAAAATACATGACAGAGAAAAACAGAGGGAGAGGTAGAAAGAGAGAATAGATAGGTCAGATGATAGAAGACAGATAGACAGATATAATACACACTCACCTTTGTTTGAAGAAGAAAACCTGGTCTTCTGCTACTCAGTGAGCACATTCACCTGGCAGGGCTCTGGGGCTGAACTTGAAGTTTAGAATCTTGAAGGCCCTCCTCCGTCCTCCAGGCCTCTCCCCCTCCCCTTGGCAGAATGCTGCTCCTGTTGGGCAGGCCCCCAGCCTGGCTGGCTTACTGCAGTCTGTTGGGCTATAGTGCTGGCCTCGCATGTGTGTATTCCTTCTGGGACGCACAAGTATATGAATTAAGAACAATCTCTTGGGTCACAGACTCAATATTATAACTCTTCAGTTCTTTGGTATCATGAATTTCAATTCAGACATTTAACGTGATTCGCAAATAGCCTTGTGTGATAGGATATTAGAGGTCAGAGGACTTTTCAATCCATCTGAAAATACATAAACACGCTGCAACAAAAATCCATTAAAAATAGAAATAGCTAATCCTTAACATGGGGGGAATAAATAATTCACCTCAAGGCTCTCCTACCATAAATCAGTAGTGCTGTTATCAAATGCCAGTGCTGGAATAGGAAAGCAAAGCAGCTGTATTAAGCTATGACAATTGGGTGGGGGATTTAGCTCAGTGGTTACACTGCCTGTCTTGAAAGTGCAAGGACCCAAGTTCAATCCCTGGTACCAAAAAAATAAAAAATAAACTATGACAATTGAAGAAGAAGAAGAGGAAAAAGTAGGGCGGAATAGTTTGCTTTCTTTCCAAGTAGTTCTCTAAACAGATGACATAATGAATGAGCTGGTGAGAGACTAGTGACTTAATTCCATTTCTGATGAAAACTTTCTTAACTGTTTAACCTCATGTAAATGGTCCCTAGGACATCTTATTCTCACACTCAGGGTTCCAACAGTGGCACAAGCCAATCCTCAGATGTGACTCAGGCACCTTCTCACGTTCCCCCTGCTCCAGTGAAAGGCTTGGAGAGAAGAACCCATCATCTCGACCATCTCGACCATGTCAAGTTCAGAGGAGGGAGCGAAGGTTTGGGATAAAAAACACAAGGCTCATTTTACACCATTGATCCCTATCCTAAGGGACCATCCAAACTCGGGTCCAGATGGGTCCACAAAAGGGCCATAAGAAATAGAACCATTTCTAACCCCTCCTGAAGCAGAGTAAGGACAGCAATGCAAGAGGTCTAGATATAGAGAAGACCCAGTCAGGAAATCAGGCTTGGATGAAACCAACTACTCAAGTCCCATATGACTGTACAGCAAGATCTTCTTCTTTCCTTCCTTTCTTCTTTGTTTCCCCTCCAGTATTGGAGATTTAACACAAGGCCTTCTCACCAAGCTACATCTCTAGCCCTTTTTTTAAAAATTTTATATATTCAGACAATCTCACTAAGTCACTAGGTTACCCAGACTGGTCTCAAATTTGTGATCCTCTCGCTTCATCCTCCCAGACTAGTGGGATCATAGGCAGTTTTTTAAAATAACTTAATTAGCAAACACTTGTATGAGGTCACTCTGTGCCAGGTGCTGTGCTAAGAGCTTCAGATATCAATTTCTTAAACCCTTACACCATTCCTGTCAGTAAGTTTTATTGTTATCTCCATGAAGAAATGATAAATAAACATGGCAGATTTCATCTAATCGTGGATCAGGAACCCCAGGTGTTACTGGCTAGGTAGAGGGCTGGAGTCTCTAGTTAGAGGTGTATTCCAAGTTCTTTTCCAACTTGAAGAAAGACTTGAAAAAAACAAGCTAAAACTAGTGACAAAGTTTATTTGAAAAAGAAAACATGAAGGGTAAGGGGGAAACTGGCTCCAGAGCAAACGTGGGCCAAGTAAAAGAAGAAAAATCAAAGCAAAAATCAAAATAAAAGTACACCTTGGAGGACACATGGCGGGCTACCATGAGGAAAGCCACAGTGGCAGCTCTTCATGGCATCTGTGGTCCTTTTATTTCCTCCACACATTATGGGAACCCACAAGAACTCCATTACAGGGCCTTGGGAATTATTTGGTGTGTTGTGTCATGGAATCGGGTCACACTTACTCCCCCAACCAGCTTAGCCATGCCCTGCCTTTCTGCCTCACAGGGAGGCTTCAGTTTGCCACCAACATTGCACTCAAGACTGCCCTGCCACCTTCAGTTCTGTTCTGGGCCCTGGAGTGAGTTGCATGTGGGGAGAGAAGAGAAAACAAGCAGCCAGAGACAAGGCTGCAATCTGAGCCTAAGAGTCAGCGCAGCTGTTTTTGTGATCCTAATTATTTCTATTAGAAAAGCAATTGTTGAGGGTTTTAATGGGCTTTCTTTTCTTAGGATTCCTACAGGTCATCTGTATCCAGTTGAGAACCACAGAGGAAATGGCTGGGAGTCAGCTGTTCTCTGATACCAAGTGATGACGTATCAGGAAGGTTGTGGGATGATCCTCAAAACAACCACACCCTACTGCTTCAAGATAAAGCAGGCTCAGCATGGCATTTCAGAACACAGCAGATGGCTGTAGTGAGGATGCGTGAAACATGAAGCAAAAAAAGATAAGCTTTGTATCGACTAGCTGTCACCACAACGAAGCTGTGCAACAACCTCAAAACTCAATGGCTTTTGTTAGGACGACTGAATATCTACATGCAAACAAAAACAAAAGATTTTAAACCTTGTTTCATGTCATATACAAAATTAACTCAAGATGAAGCAAAGAACCACATGGAAGAACTGAAACTAGAAAACTGTTAGAGAAAGAAAAGAGTAAATTTTCATGACCTTGATTTGGCAATAGATTCTGATATGACACCAGAAGCATAAGTAACAAAAGAAAAACAAAAAAGATCAGTTAGGGCTCATCAAAATTAAAAACTTTCATTTATCAAAACACAATATAAATAGAGTATTTACAAATCGAAAGAAGACCAAGAGTTGAAAGGGTCAAGGAAGGACAGGAGGGTTAGAGGATGAAAAAAAAAAAAAAAAGAATTGAGATGTGTTAAGTAAATGTACCAACTCTCAGCCATGAATATAATTGTTAGGTACTGCAAACATCTACTAATGAAAAATTTTTAAAACACAATATAAAAAAGCAACCCACCAAATGAGAGGATAGTTATAAATTATATATCTGATGAGGATCTAATAATCAAAATATAGAAATAACTCTTTCAACTGAACAATAAAAAAGATCTTAGTTTTAAAAGGCAGAAGAGCAATGAAAGCCAGGCATGGTGGACTGTAGTTCAACACTCTGGGAAGCTGAAGCAGAATAATTGCAAGTTCAAGCCCAGCCTGAGCAACTTAGTGATTTAGCAAGACCCTGTCTCAAAATAAAGAATAACTGGTGTTGGAGATGTAGCGCAGGCAAAGACCTTGAGTTCAATACCCAGTATCACAGGGGGAAAATGAGGAGGAGAAGAAAAGAAAATGTGGGAGAGAAGGAATGAAGGAAGGAAGGAAAAAAAAAAAGAGGCAAGTGACTTGAATAGACATTTCTCCAAAGAAGTTATACAGATGGCCAACAAGCACATGAAAAAGATGTTCGATATCATTCGTCTTTAGAAAAGTACAAAGTGAAACCACAGTGAAATACCACTTCATGCCTACTAAGATGAATATAATTTTTTAAAAAGAAAGACAGGAAAATAAAGAAAATAATCAACATTGGTTGATGAGGATGTAGTGAAACTGGAGTCCATGGTGCAGCAACTGTGGAAAAGTTTGTCAGCTCCTCAAAAGTTAAATGCATAATTACCATATGACCTGGCAATTCCACTCCAAGGTATATACCCCAAATTTGTGAAAACACACGTTCAAACAATACCTGTACAAAAAATATTCATAGTAGCACTGCTCACAACAGCCAAAAGGTAAGAAAAACTCAAATATCCATCAACTGGATAATAAAATGTGAGAAGGCCATATAACAGGATATTATTCAGTCATAAAAAGGAATGAAGCACTACCTGCCACAACATGGATAAACCCCAAACTGTTGTGCTAAATGACACACAGTGAACACACGATGAATGGTTCCATTTAAATGACATATCCAGAACTGGAAAATCCATAGAGTCAGAAAGAAATCCATAGTCACTTGAGGCTGAAGGAGAAAAGAAGTGGAGAGGGACTGTTCAATGAGTATGAGGTGCATCGTTTTGAGGAAATGAAACATTCTGAACCTGGATAGCAGTCACAGTTGTACATTATGAATGCACTAAATGTCACTGAGTTTGTTGGTTAAAACGCTGAATTTTCTGGAAATTGAAATGTAAATTTTATCTCAGTAAGAAAAAAACTCAATGGCCTTTTTTTTAAGCCAGGTAATCTCATCACACGATCTTTGGCTTGGCTAGGGGTAAGGTAATCTAGTCACAGCTGGTCTGGGCTTAGTTTCAGGGTGCAGCTTGGATCCAGGTCTGCCTTTCATGTCCCATCCTCAGACAATTGGACCACACAGGGCATGTTCTTCTCCTGGTGATGGAAGAAGCACCAGGAGGTGAGTCCAACAGATGTATTTAAAGCCTTGTTTGCATCGTGTCTGATATTCTGTCAGTCAAAACAAGCCACACAATTAAGTTCAAGGACAAAGGACAGGAAGTACACCCCATGCTGGTGAAGGTATTGCAAAGTTGGATTGCAGAGGACAAAGCAAGGAAAGTGTAGAATTGGGAACTCTAATGCAATCTACCACCACTCCTTCTTGACACAGGTGACTTCTTTCTTCTTTACTCCTAGATGACAAGGATTCCTCCACATCTTTTCTGCCAGCTTTCATGACCCAAATTCTGTCAAGGTAACTCTTATTACATTACATGAAACACAAACCAAAATGAGTGTTTAGGAAGTTAGCTGAGCTTTTCAAATGCTTATCAGAAGAGGATGCATTTCAAGAAATTACATGATCCTTGGTATCAGATAGTGGATTTTTGATGCTTTAGATCTCTCCACCATATTAAATGGCAGGTTTTAAAACCAGCAGCAAAGAGAAAGAAGAGGACATGAAGAGCTGTGTAGGAATTTCAGGGGCCAGTTCTGGCAGTAGTGTATGTCACTTCCACACTCCATTGGCAGAACTCAGTCACAGCATTGCAAATTGAATACCCACAGAGGAGACTGGTGGGTGCGATACAGGCAGCCACACACTCAACAGGAAAAGGGAAGCGGTGAATTGTGTTCTTGGACAGCCTCTGCCTTTACTTGACTGTCAAAACTTCTAAAGTTGGTGTTTGGAAAGTGCTAGTCACTTGGTGGGGTTTGGTGAACCCTGTTTTGGAGCCCTGGTATGAGGACCTTAGAAGCAACAACAGCTAGAGAAGCATCCATGACCCAAAGACTTTTATTACTGGAATCCAAACAAGAAAATGGAGCGAATTCTTCGAGACAAATGACATTAAATGACAAAAGCCTTGACCTCACTCCAGTCTGGCCTGAGGGAGCAAGACTTCTGTGTATGTTACATATTTCAGTGCCCCATTAACGGCTTGCTCCTCAGACATTTACAGTCACTCTCAATAAATTTAAGGTTGAACGAAGAATGGAATCAAAGTGATTTGGACACAAACGTCCTCTTTCCCATTCTCTCCCATGCCTTTCACCAACCTCCCCTCATCACAGTTGCCCAGAACAAAAGGAGAGGAAACGCTGGGCCAACAACGCTGTTAACATCTCGAAAGCCAATGAAAGACCAAAAAAAGTCAAAAATCACACTTCCAAAGCTCTCCTTGTGCGTCCCTGAGCTGGCAAGCTCTTTATTTCTCTGCAGTGACCTGATCTTCTCCCCCTGAAATGTCAAGTCGGTTGCCATTTCCACCCCTCTCAACTGGGGGCTTTATTATCTTAAGGTGTGAAAAGTTTCTTCGAAGAAGTCTGCCTGGGAGAGAAATCAGAGTGATTTAAGCAGTGCCCCTGTGTGTTGGGAATGGAAGAGAATCCCCGGCTGACACATCAGACAGGAAAAATGTAAGCTCAGATGCATTTATTAAGGGAGGTTGAATATCTGCTCAGCAACACCCCTCTCCTTTTTTTTTTAAACTCTTACATGCTATTTTAATGAAAAGCCACCGCAAGTCCTCAGCAAATCACAGCTTTGAAGGAAAAATGTCAATCCCTATCAAATGCTGAAGAATTGTTGGAGCTGATGGAAATCTAAATTCATCTGTGGTTTCTCCATTTCCCTCTCTATTCCTTCAGACCAACCCCCTCCTCCTCCAATGGCCCTAAAAGTGCCGGAATGGAGCTGCAAATCAACGCCTCAGGACATCCTATCAGACAATGGGAAGGTCTAGAGAAAGGTTAAAGCAGAAAGGAAACTGAATTTATAGACTTAGCACTAAAATCTTAAAGGACCTTAGGAACAGCAATGAATCTGATGTTAGGAAAGGCAGAGGCTGTCAGAGGCCACGGCAGGAAGGCCTGACAAGGGCCATAAATCTGAGCACAGAGGGGAGAAAACATAGGTGTCCTTCCAGGCAGAGGCAACGTGATGAAAAGATTCCAACCAGGACTTAAAAGACCAGCAAGGCCACAGAGCATGGTGGGGAAGAAGGACTGGGGACTACAAATAAAGAAGGAAAAGAGCAGCAGATCATGGGGGTGGGAGAGAGGCTCCGGCTGAAGCCAGCAGAGGCCAGCAACAAAGATGCCTGCAACACACTTTTGGCTGTTGGGGAGGCAGAGATCTTTGAAACTGATCCACCAAGAAGGGAGATGGGATAGCATGCTTGCTCCTTGCTGTACATAGGCGATGGAATGCAAAGAACCTTAGAAACAACCAGAAGCAACGGGGAAAGCCAGGCATCCCAGGGCCAAGACAGATTGTTGAAGAGGCCAAGGGAGCTCAGGGCAGGAGAAAGGCTGTGGGACCCGATGGACAGGACAGAAGCCAGGAGACAGAAGCTCCTGGGGTTGCTATTCACTTTCATTCACCCATTCAGTGTATTTTTGGGTTTCATTTCTTTCAAGTATGCAAAATATGTCAAAACACTAACAAAAACAATAAAATAAAACAATTGCAACTGGAAATAATAGACCATGACTTATTTTAAAAATGCCAAACTCAAGTGGCCTTCCCCTTCCACTCAGCAGCACTGTGATTGCCAGGGCTCCTGCCATTTCACCTGTGTCCTAGGGTGGCACACTGTTTCCTCTGCCTCTGTTTCCCACCATGGAAAAAAGTGGGGAGATGAGTTTCATTGTTGCAGGAGAGGATTCATTGAATGAATAGCATCACTGTATATTTCAAACTCTTGAATTTAAGTGTAAGTACTGATGTGATACTAATAGCATATACAGATATTCCACCTTTAATGATCTACCTGGTTAATGACTGTTTGGATTTATGATTTGCTGCTCAGACTCACAACCTGCATTCAGACTTATGACACAGGAACATGAGTGGCAGTGAGGACATATGGTGGCTTCTTCTACACTACACCACTGGAATTTTTGCTGATTGTACTGTACAGTACTATAGTTTTATATTCTGTTACACATTACAGTACTGCATGTAAGAGTTATGCAAATAAAAGCAAAGTCATCAAGCTGAAGTTTCTTTTGACCATTTCTTTGTTCTGAATATCACAATGTACGCACTATATACAACACCTCATTTAGCAACTAATTCATTCAATGACCCAGGCGCAGGAATGGACCTCACTTGTTAAATGAGGGATATCTGTACCATAAGTCCCCAACTTACGAACATTTGAGTTGTGAATTTTCACAGATACAAATGGACCTTAAATTTGCAGATGCAAACAGATTGCCAAAGTAGCTGTGTAGTTGTACTGTACTATACCACCATTTTTAGGTAACTGCAAAAGTAAAAATAGATTATTTACAGTATTTTTATATGTGTATTTGGTTTTTTTGTGCTTTACATTGTATATTTGTGTCAAAAGTGTATAAGACTCACTTTGTAGGGAAAAAAAAAGAACTCACTTTGTAAGACTTTCAAACAAATACGACTTAGGAACATTCACCCAGAATGGAACTCATTTGTAAGTTGGGGACTTACTGTATACCAATATCAATACAGACATCAACAATGGTGTAATGATGTATTACATGCATACACCCATTCATGAAAAGCAACCTGCTCGGGTTTTTTGAAATATGAAAATCAGTATACCATCTCCGTATGTCTTACCCTCCTTTGCACTCCATCTGTCTTCTACATCTGCATGGTCACTTTTCCCTTCTTATCAAATTTCTGTCTACTTCTGTTTCCTCACTTCCATCTTCTCTCTCTTTTCTGCCATGTTGACTCCTCCATCTCCCACTTCTCTCACTTGCCTTGGAAAGGAGAGAGAACATCCCATGTGCAATGTCATTTCATAGGTGAGTACATATGGTTATTAATATTCATTAACTCTCTTAATCTTTTTTTTCTTTCAGTAAAAACGGGGAAATACTACTTTACCATGTGTCAGACTGTTTGATTAGCAGGTTCTGCTTTTACAGCACCGAACTCTTATTCTACAGAGAACTTAGAGGTCTGAATGCTGCTGGGTGGTGGATAATTTTCCTTGGACCAACCAAGGAGAGGGAAATTAGCAAAACCAAGAGATGATCTTTTTTCCAGGGAAAATTTCAGCCTCAAAGTGATAAATATTATAACATTCAGGAGTGAATTCACCTAAGTATATTTCCCGAAGATGGTGATCATCTTTTTACGTCCTAAACTCACAAGCAGATCAAAAGATTTCCCTGAAAAGTTAAGAATCTTGCTGCCTGCTGCACAAGTGCAAGGACCCGAGTTCGATCCCCGTACCAAAAAAAAAAAAAAAAAAAAAATCTTGAACTCTGAAACACAATAAATTCCCTAAAGTTGTTTTCTGTTTCCTATAAAAAGTCAGTGCAGATCAAGAATAACTGGCCTTTGTGATTCAGACCTAGCACACACTATCTTAAAACACAGAAAAAAAGGTTTTTTAATTGTGCAATAGGTAAAAGATGTATTAAAAGTCTTTAAAAATTAAATTAAAAGTTTGAAAGGTAAACACTGTTTCAGGTATAAGGATATTCTGATATTTATGACCGTGCATAAAAAATAACAATTTTTTGTTTAAGTCAATGGATCCATAGATAAAGGGACTTAACCTGACTTCCAACTCATTTGGTGAAAAGGTAGTGGACCAGAAGTTTATTTGTAGAAGTGAGGTCTTTTGGCAACTCAATAACAGGTTTCCTGTTTGACTTCTGGCAAGTTACTTAACTACCTGATATCTAAAGTTACTCATCTGTAACATGAGTAAAACAATATGATCACCTTGTTATTTTTGGCTCTTGGACTGCTCCCAACCTAGAATGTGTAACTGAATCTCACAGAGAAATTTCGCAGAATTAATGAATATCTACAAATGCTGAAGGGCCTCAAGTCAGATGTTGGCTTTATGGTTATCATTATAGAGTAGGCACTAATAGCCCAAATGCCGTCACCCCACTCCTAAGTCATCACTCTCTTCTGTCTGGTGTGACCTCTCTGTCCCTCTACCAGGAAAGCCTCCATTCCATTCTCCCATCCACTGTAGGCCCTCCCAGATCTGTCCTCTTGAATGCATAAGTAATCTTATTAACTTTGACTTGGCTCTTTTCCCTCTCTTCTAACAAACTATAATCTGGTTTCTCTCACCCTTTATAATTTTGTCCATGTCAAACTCAATAACCCCATTATGTACAAGTCACTACAAAGGAGTGTTCTCCCCCCAACTTTTTCTAGTGCTCTGATGGTTTATGTGTAGACTTCAGCAGTGCTTCCATGTAGTAGATCACCTTCAACCTTTCTGATAACTCTTTGGCAGAGTCTTATTTCTCTTTCTGCTCAATGACATCCCTCCTAATTCTTCTTGTCTTATCATGTGGTATTCCTATCAACTGTATGTATACTCTCCAGCTTCTATTCCTTATCTGTTTTAGATCTGCACTATGAATTCTGTTCAAGATACTTGTACCACTTATCCATTATCACAGTAATAATGCATAACATAACCCCTTCAAATTTAACCAACTGTATTAGTCAGCTGTCGCATTGCTAGGACAAAGTACCTGAGACTTAAAACATAAAGGAGAAGAGGCTTAATCTAGCTCATGTTTCAGAGGGTATAGTCCATGGTAAGCTGACTCCAAGGCAGAAATGATACAATACTTTACATTCTCTAATATTGCCAAATCATAACAACTCTTTCCCTTTGTTAAATTCCTTAGATCCTAGATTTTCTAAATATGTTTGAAAATTGTAATAAGATTCAAACCTGGTCAAGAATTTCTAGAACTTGTGGGAAACCACTTTTTCATAAATTTACTTGTTTTTATTTTTGTATTAGTTCATTTTGTATTGTTGTAACAAAATACTTGAGGTGGATGATTTATGAAGAAAAGAGATTAACTTAGCCCACAGTTCTAGAGGTCTAAAAGCATAGCACCAGCCTTTGCCTGTCTTCTGGTAAAAGTCTCACGCAGAAGGGACCACATGGTGAGGAGAAAGCAAGAGTAGTGAGTGAGTTAAATAGAAGATGCCAAAACACTGTGAGTAGCCCTGCTTTATAACAGTTTGTGCTCTTGGTAATTTATCCAGTTTCATAAAACCAAACATAGTCCCTTGAGACCAAATCCAATCTCAAGAGGCTTCATGAAGCCTTGAGAAAGACATTAATCTATTCATAAATGTGCAGCCACCTTGACTTGAGTGTCTCTTAAAAGGGTCCACAGCCTCTCAACACTGTTACCTTGGGAATCAAATTTCAACACAGCAACTCTTAATCCTTGTCTGCTATTTTGCTCAAATGCCCATGTCCCTGCCTTGCGTATCCTTTAGCCAAATTCTGGAGGACAAGAACTGTGTCCCCACCATTCTTCTCTCCTCCAAGCTTCCCCACACTGTTTTGGCACACAGCTGGACTTTAATATGTATTTACTCTTCATAGTAGTGGTATGGGCCTCATTTTAAATGGACCACCCCTCTGTTAGTGGACTTTACAAAGGCACAAACTTGTACTGGGAAAGTGTAGTCTCTTGAACATCTGGAGCAAATGCTAAGACTCTGGGCTGAACATTGATCCCTGGAGATTTCAAGTTTGTCTTTCTTTTGAGTTTGTATGTGTGTGGTTGTAACTATTGTTCTAGAAAAACCAATGTCTGGTGTTTCTTTGGATTTTAGACTTGGTCTTAAGTAAGCTAACTTTAACCCATTAAGAGTTGCCCTCTGTACTTTTTCTGGAACTTTGGTTCCCATTCACATTTTATTTACCCTATGACTTTTTAAGTTTTAAACTCCAGGTCTCAGAGTCAATATTAAAAGTCCTTGGCTGCCAGGGATTTAGCTCAGTGATTCTGCCACCTGCCTCGCAAGCGAAAGGTCCTGAATTTGATCCCCAAAACCAAAAAAAAAAGTCCTTGGCAAGAGGATCCCCCTGGTTTTGTTTAGCATAAATTCTAGCCCTTTCTCCTCACTGTTTTCCATGCTCACTGATTATTAATTGCCACATGGGATCTCAAATGGTGGTTCCATCTATACATTTTCAGGTTCCTGTGCCCATTCTTTGGGGACTACTTGATCTTCCTTGGTCATCTTTGAATACTGAACCAGTTCGTTGACTCCTAGATTCCCCTCCTGTTTTCAGTATGAAGCCAAGCAGACCAGAGATCATAATAACCAAAGGAGGACAGGACCAAGGTTAGAGATGATTAAAATCCTCAGGTTGTTTTTCTTTCATATATCCCCATGGGTAAGGGATCCTTCCTAGCATGTTGACTTCAGACTGCATACTTTACTCTCTCCGACAGAGTTCACCTTAGTCCTCTCCTCTCCTCTTCTCTTCTCCACAGACCCTTGAGGCCCTAGAAAGTCTTCTTTCAATCCATACAGACAGGCAGTTCCACTTATTAGTTTGATTCAACGCCAAGTTACTTTTCTGAAACACTTTCAGCCTGCATTATAAGCCAACACTCCCATGAGGGTTGGCATGTTTCTTTCCCACACTGATGGTGTGAGGGGGGAAAAAAACACCCTACATATCAAAGAACATCCCACCCACATCTATGATTGGTTGAAAGGCAATACAGGGCGTGGTTGTGGTTGGCTGTTTAGCTCTTTTACCCACCCTCTTTAATCTACAGAATGGAATAAATGATCAACAGGAAAAGTAAGCAAATCAAGCAAGATAAATTAAATGAGCTTGTCTTTCCACTTGCTAATCTGCATGGTAATGGGGAACAATTTCAAATAAGATGTGAGCAGTAGCCAAAACTATTAGTAGGTTGTGAAATGGGATGCATCAAGGGTCAGATTTATAAAACAGTGCTCTTTAGCCAAATCTCTGAAATACTAAACAAAAATAACACTTGGATCCATTGAAAAGACCAACCCAAAGCATCTGTTTTCCTTAGCTGGTGCACATAGCAGGAGAAATGTTGGCAGAACATTTGATTACCATAAAAGAGAGAGCTATGCAGAAACCACATTAGAGTAAACGCAACCAAAACAAAGTCAAATGTTTGAACTGCTTTGAATAGATTATAGTAGAGACATGAAAAGGGGTCTAGCCTGGATTAATGAGAAATGCAAATGAACTGACTTAGAAGCAAACCAGCTCCCTCTGTGATTTGACCCCTTGTCCCTCAGATTTGGGGGTGAAGTAAATACCTGTCATCTAGAGAGCCGATCAGAGGCACAGCACATCCACATGATGGGTGGCTTGAGCCAGACATGTTAACCATCTCCAGAGAAGTGATAATTCAGCCCGATGCTAAAGCATGCTGCAGATCTCCTTCACTGCCAGCCCCACCCTCTGCTCTATTCCTTTTAGGTGAAGAACTGCACTGAGCAGCTGGTTTTGATCATTCAATCCATGGCAAAGACTGTGAGAAACACATTTATTTTGGTAACACACAGCCATATATATTCATATATATATATATATATATATATATTTACACATATATATTTGCACATGTTTTTTCTCTGGGCTGTATATGTCTATTTATTGCCTGGTGTTGGCAATAACTTTCTAATAATCTATCTTTCATAGTGTCCTCTTATGAGCTGTCAACAAAACCTTCCCTAATTTGGGTTTTTGGCAGCTGAATTCAACCACCACTGGAAACCAAACTGCTGGGCTCTGGAAAGCCAACCCAGCCCATCCATCTGGATGATCCCTTCTCAAAGGGACCTCTACCTCCCCTGGAGACCCTCCCCTCTACACCCCTACTAGCATCACTGTGCTAAAAAAGACTGTCAAGAAACTAATATTAGCTTGAGAATATGTGAGTGGTTCTCATTAC